GGGCCCGGGAACCAGAGATGAGCCCCACAACGCCGAGAGTGGGACGGGGAAGGTGCGGTAACGTCTCCAGCAACAAGAAGAACGGGGCAGTAAACGGGCACCGAGGCGTGGGTGCAAACGAGGATTTATTTCTCCACAGCACGCAGCGCAAACCGGGGAGCCTTGCTGCCGCAGGATCCTGTGGCTGGCGACCTGCCTTCAAAGGGCGCTTTGGCAAACCCATGAAAGAAACATCCCTCAGAGCTGCTACATACAGCTTTTAAAATCACCTTTCGTTAAAAAGTTTCAGACGTGCGGAGGGCTGGAAGCATGTCCCGGGAGAGTACCACCATGGCCTGCTTCTGTTCATACGGACTCCCTCGACCTCCCCTTCGGCCGTCACGGGCAGCAGGACGCTGAGCCCGAGTCTGACCCAGCTGAGTGGGTCTTACACCCTTGGGGCAGATGTCGTGTCCCTCGTTGAGCCACTACACACAGAAAAAACAGAACTAAACCACGTAGCTGCCCACTGCCTCAAACTCCCATTAGTAGCAGGGATACTGAGTACTCTGCACGTGAAAAGAGAAAACCCAACTTCAGTTTCGTGTTTCACAATATATAATTACAGACAGCGAAGGAATGCCAGATTTGTATGAAATGCAAACCTGTTTGGTTCTAAAGGAAGAATGTATTTGCCCTTCAAGAAAGTGCTCTGAGGAGCCTCTTTTTTCTGCATTGCAGATCTCGCCCCACAATTGCATCTTCTCATGCTTCAACCTTACGCTGAAATCCAATGCTGTCAGGAACACTATTTCCTAGCTTTGCTGCAGTTGCAGTGCACTCAGTTTTTGGCATTACGCTGCTTTGGCACTGGTGCCAAACCCCATGATGAATAATGTGTGTCAAACACAGCAAATTAGTGCTCAGTCTAGTATGGAAATAACAAGGATCATATCTCAAAGCACAGCACTTCTCAATCTGATGAGCTGCCCCAGAAAGAAATTAAAAACACAAAGTTGAAGAAGTATTTATAGGTATAGTCTTAGCTGAGTAGAATATTAAAAATACCATTTAGAAAGCATAGTCATGGTGAAATACGATGTGTCACAACAAAGAAGGAAATTGGATGCATTATTTAACAAAGTTTTCACTCAAGCAGTGCTATTATAGAATAGCACTTAGAATACATTACTACTACTGCAAGACAGATTTCCATTCATTCCTCTTGCAATCTTTCATCTTATGAGTGCATATAATATTTGTATTCTGATTTTCATACACTCAGTTGTATTTAGGTACTGGTAAAAGGATCATAATCCCCCGAAAAATTATTATTGCTTAATTTCTGCTGTGTGGACCATTTGCTGTTATATCTGAATCTGAGCTTCAGTGCTATTGTCTGTCAAAATACACTTTACAACCGAAAGGCCATACTTAGAGCTTGGCGTGCGGGTTACGTGCCAATCAAAGCTACATGATGACAGCTCGGAGCAAGCACAGCTGGTGTGTTCAGTGTTGACTAATTTATGAAGAAACAAAAACTTGATGGACAGAGAAATGGCAACTTGCCACCTCAGGGTGACGATATTTCACTGGAAGCAAACTCAAGACTGCTTCTTCCTAACTGGACAGAGTAACTTGCATGTATCGTACTGAAGAGTAAGAGAATTGTTAATCAAAACTCATTGTTAAACAGTTTTGTTTAAGCCAGAACGAAAACAGGTCTGTTAATCTATATGTTAAAAAGCATTGATCACAAAAAAAAGTTTTGCCTCTTAAACCAATAACGGAAGGGTGTAAACCCTCCTAAAAAGATCAAACAATTGAGATAACATTCAACCCAGCTGTGGAAGCAGAAACCCCTGTTGCAGCAGGACACCTGAAAATGACGATTTTTTAAACCTCCTCCTGAGTCTTGCCTGCCCACTGGTTTAATTTTTTTCTTGCGAACAAAATAATTGACTAACCTAGTTAAAAGCTACATTGTGTATGAAGAAAGAAAACGCACTGCATTCTATCTTAATATAACCATTTTGCACGTTACTTTGAGTTGTACAGCACACTAGGATTGCATTAGAAGAACTTGCTGACAGAAAGAACAAGGATTTGTTCTGAACTTTACAAGCATCTATTGTGATGCATACGCTAACTTCAACCACGTAACTTCAGACCTCAGCAGCCGAGCCTGGAGACAATCATATTTTCACTTCTTCCAAGAATATCACAGTCCAGTCTTTTCCATTTTCGTAACAGAATTAATGATGTCATTAATTACATTCCTGGTCCTCTAACACTACTTAAAACATCTCACCATTTTATTTTGCAAAATTTGGGCACAATCCTCAGGTACAAATTCAGTTAAACTTGTACGTTACTCTGGTATTCAGTTTGCTTGAATTGTTTCCTTTCTGTCATCTTGATCTGAAATCAAGGTCCGGTGAGAAAGAACTCCACCTACTTTCTTTTTTTTTAAACTGCTTGAGCTTCATTAATTATTGACTTATGCTTTTATTCCTCTTTATTTCATTCCCAACAGGAAATGAGAAAGATAATTTTGCAACTTCAGGCTTTCTAGCAGCAGTTGGTATAACTCAAATGATGGACAGTATTACTTGATTTTCAAACACAAGCTGAGCATGTTTGGAATGGGAGGCTTACAGGAAGGTCGTTTCTTATTTGAGACTCAGTTCATATAAGGACTTGCTAATTCTTATCAGGCCATTTCGTAATGGACTTTAGTCTTAATTGAAACTGTCAAGTAAGATTAGACTTCACATTTAGGCACAGAAGGCAATACGGTGATCAGAACAGATTCCATGAGCTAGAACATAGGGTATTTTTACATTAAAATACTTCTGGTGATCTGAGGAAAATTTAATGCTGCTACTACTACAAAAAAAGAACTTTTTGCAACTGGACTTTCCTACCCCCGAGTCCATTTTCACACTGATAGAAGCAGCCTCTTCCATAAACGGGCCATGTTGCTAAGAGAGTAGGCATAAAATTGGCTTAGATTTTCACATTTTTTTCTTGCAGTTTGAAAGTGAGAATTTCTGGCAGGCTGTTCAATACAGACAAGTATTCAATACGTGGAACATTTTGGGGTGTTGGGTTTTCTTGTGTTTGGTTTTTCTGTGGGTTTCTGTTGTCATTAGTGACTAGGTCAATACAAAACTCTCATAGGACTGGCTTGATTTTAAGACTGATAATGCAGACCTTCCTGAAGCCCTTTGTGTTCTTGCCCTCTTCATTTCTAACTCATCATAGCTAATTAATTCAGTTACAGGAAACAACCCCAGGGTAACATGAATATCAGATTTTTATGAAAAACAAACTTGCGTAGTACCAAGGGTAGATCACAAATTTTCAGGCAAGATCAGAAACCACATTCTTGTCGCAGGAACTTTGAAGATCACAATCATTTACAGTACTTCCAGATTACTGTATGGTCATGCCTTGTTCTTTATCTTCAGCTGTTGCATTCCAATCAGTAATTTTTTTATTTTTTTTTTTTTAAAGTAATTGTAGGTACATTCTACTTTAGACTTAGTCACGTTTTTCCACCAGATACTCACTTCAACTCAGTCTTGGACATCTGTCCGTCTATAGACGTTTTAATCCTTATTTTCCCCACTGCAAGTAAGGCATCTGAGAGAAAGGTGCAGTCAGTAACACCTCCTGCGAATCCAGTCCAAACGCCAGCCACGTTCAATAGATTCAATTGATTAAGCTATTGGACCATGAAAAAACAACTTTTTGTAACAAATACGCAATCCCAGAAATACAACTCACTTAAACTGCATTCACACTTAATGAGCATATGTCTTTTCATCCAGATGAAAATAATTTATGTTCAAGAACAAAATAAAATCTCTTATTAAATGGTTTGCAGAATTTATTAGGTCTTTTTTAATATACTCAATACTTTATCAAGCTAGTTGCATATAAAGTGATCTTCACCATATACATTACAATTTCTGTGCATCATCTAAAAAGTCACCAAAAAGTAATATTTTACAGGTTACAGTTAGCTTTTAATTAACCTAAAAGTGAACCTTTCTATAATTTGATTTAAGACACGAGCCTGCACATGGCTTCTAACCGCAATATTTAAATTAGGTTTCACAGCAAGCCCAACCTGCATTTCAGTGAAAAGAGGTTACTGCCCTCTCAGCTTCTGAATTTCTATAGTTTACTATCTTAACACCGCAAAAAATTAATGTGGTGTTCACTCCAAATAAGGAAAAAGTATAATGACAATTCCTTTACAACAAAGCCTGCTCAGAATACATATGCCTCAAGAAAATTAGGAAACTCCTCCAGTAAAAAGAATTCACTCAAATTTGTGAACGGAAAAACCATTTTTGGTTCTTCTTGATTAATGCTTGGAGCTGCTCATGAAAAGCAAAACCAGCAAGCACAATAGGAAACTAGTACTGGATATGACTTAAAGCAAAGAAAATTAGAAAAAAGCGGATTCTACCTGCAACAGCCATTTCCCAATTTAGAACAATCTTTAAAAGGGACTCACGCAGATAACTAACAAAATAGGTTTTCTGGACACTAGTTTACTGGCCAGGCACATACGCTGTAAATATACAAAGAATCCAGAGTGCTGAAATTTACAGAGCACTTAAAAGATTTAACATAACAGAGGTGGGTAGGACACAGGAAAAATATTTAACAACTTATATAAATATATTAAAATCTCAGCAAGAAATGTAAGAGCCCATGCACACAAGACAGTAAATTGAAAAAACACTTAAGACTTGACTTTTCCTTTGAACAGCACTGACACCTGAATTCTGGAAAGTTAACAATTTACAGTCTCTTTTAACAGTCTTTCTCCACACAATCTGAATCATACCAACATTACACAGCACATGAACAAGCAGCAAATGCATCAAGGGAACAGGAGCTATATGCATCATGTGGCCTGCCCAGTTAGAGGCAAATATCAGAAAAATTGTTTCTGACATAGGCAGAGGTACAATCAATATAGCTAATTGTATACCCGTCACTTTCAAGAGTTAATCCACAGTATGGGAAAGGGGAGCTTTAGATAAAAATCATGTACCCAGTCTCAGAAGTGACAGAAGCAGAGATTTATCTTTCAAAAACTGGGTCCATTCTGGACTGGCCTTGATGCACATGCAGTACATTTGTTTTCAGAATGCAAGATTAATTGGGAATGTCTGCACTAGTGTTTCGATTTCCGTATTTGTGATGGATGATCAGCAACACAACTCCTAAGAAGAAGCATATGGACCCAACAGTGATGTACGCAATTCCCAGAAAGGGATTTTTGCCTCCCATCCACGAGATGGTGCTTAGGATCATTCTTTTTCGTCCGTCAAAACTGTGTACAGGATAATCTGAAAAACATTTAGGAAAACAAGAAGCACATTTCCAAATCTAGCTTTATGTGGTCAGGCAAGTTGAAATTCTGGGTCATTTCACTCAGGTTCCAAATACAAAGTGCTGCCTTTGAATACTGGAAGCACAAATATGAAACGTTTAGCTATTCTTTTAGGATGAGACTAATATGGGCACTGTCAGCTACTCCAAGAAAAATGCCACGTTAGGAGATGTTAACTCCTTTTTAAGGGAAGAGTAAATGAACAATTTTGTGGGTTTTTGAAAGCAGCTTCAATAACATGAGGGAAATCTAAATTTTAATTCTTAAATATATTTGAGTACAAAATGTTTCTTGATGTTCATTCAGTTTTATATGCTCTCCCCCCAGTTTTGCAGCAAAGGAAAATACTGCAGTGGCTATTTGAAAACGATCATCGAGTGCTTTCAATTTTTAAGAACTCAGTTACTATGACAACCCTCCTCCTCTAGTCTCCTGCACTTCTACCTAGTCTTTAGTTTGTCCAAAATAGAATGACAAACCTCCACCTGATCCATAGGTCTGAGATTTTCTTGACCTCCAAAGTCATTCTGCCCTTGATCCCATATTGTCATTACACCTTGAAGTTAAAGTTTTCAAATTTCTAGGCTACCAACTACTTCTATACTTTCCTTTTTCCTATGCTTCTCTCATTTCCTTCATAGCACCCAAGCAATCTGATTTCCCCTCTCACTACAAAGCTACTAACTCTATAAAAACTTGCACAGAAGTAAAAGATGGTAATATTCTACCCAATTCTCACTATCAGTTTTCAACCACAGCTCAATACCATCTTTTTTTTTAAGAGATGGTAAGAAAAAAGGCTAGTTCAACTTGAACTTGCACAAATACATGCCCCTGTAATCCAGCTAAGGTCCTTAGCTACTTTCAAAGGTTTTTTCAAAGGATACTGTATGCAATATCCAAGGAATATTTTCCAGCCTGTAACGTAGGCTGTAAGTTATTCTTCCTTTCAATGAGACGATACAGCTTGCGAAACGTTGGCAGAGCAGCGGTACGCATCCACACAATGAAGTCTTCATTGATAAAGCCATTGTTGTCAGGCTCCGAGTCCAGCATGTACACTGGCTTGGGCCAGTTTATAGGTTTTGTTGTGCCTACGATTAAACAAAAATAAGAAGTATTTCAAATACAGGACTAAGTAGCACACTGGCTCATCAAAATTCATTCTACTATTACAAAAAAACATATTAACTTCTAAACAGTACGGAGAGAGAGGTTGGCTCACTACTATTGCAAGACACTGGGCTGTTTAATAACTTTTTATTTTGAAGCTTAAAATAGTAGGGCATATCCACGCACGCTCATGACAGCACTCTCCATTTATGTAAACAAGTTTGCCTCCCCTACACATTTCTATAGCTAGGAAGGCTTGTCTCCAAACCTTACTTGGTGAGACAGTTCTCCATTATGATGATAGCTCCTCTGCTCGCTTGTTAAGAGTTTGACTACCACTTCCTGGACCATGAGCAAATAAAATTACGTGCAATATTCTAGATGATGCCACACTAATGCTTTTGCTAATTTTACTGGAAATACAATTCTACACTGTATTAGGGTAAGGTATCTGCTTTTCCAAGGGTGGCATCACATTGGTAACATGTAATTTGGCTGTGACTAAGCAAGAAACCCGCATCAAGTTAAACCTGAAATTATTGTCTACCTTGCACAAACACACACACCCCCCCCCCTTAGAGCCATGAGAAAGGTTATTTTCAGATATTAGTAGACAAAGAAAACTTTGATTTACCAAACTATATTTAACCTAACAAAGAAGAGACATCAGGCACTTCTAATCACAAAAAAGAATCATTTTTTTCAAAAACTTTGCACAATAGAGCAGTAGAAACATTTAAATGAAAACTCCCTATGAAGAGTTTGATTGAACAACTGCAGGATTTCTTTTCAAGTTAAATCCAAGCATTGTAGCAGCTGTACTGGTTTTGGCTGGGATAGAGTTAAATTTCTTTATAGTAGCTTGTATCCTGGTAGCTTTTGTGCTGAAAGCAGTGTTGATAATTCAGGGGTGTTTTGGTTATTGCTGAGCAGGGCTTACACAGCATCAAGGCGTTTTCTGCCCCTCAGACCACCCCACCAGCGAGGAGGCTGGGGGGGCACAAGGAGTTGGGAGGGGACACAGCCAGGACAGCTGACCCCAATGACCCAAGGGATGTCCCATACCGTATGGCGTCATGCTCAGCAATAAAACTGGGCGGGTAGAGGTAGGCAGGGGCTGCCATTGCTCGGGGACTTGGCTGGTGGTGAGCAATTGTTTTCTTTTGCATCACTTGTTTTTCTTGGGTTTTATTTTCCTCTCATTTTGTGCTTTGATATTTTGTTTGTTTAGTTTTGTTTTTGAAATTATTAAGCTGTCTTTATCTCAACGTACGAGTTTTCTCACTTTTACCCTTCCAATTTCCACCCCCCCATCCCACTGGGCAGGGGCACAGTTAGTGAGTGGCTGTGTGGTGCTTAGTTGCCAGCTGGGGTTAAACCACAGTGCACATATGCAACTCTTCTCAGTATTTAAGATAAAAAAAAAAAAAATCAGAAATTAAAAATAAATTATTACAGTAAAGGTAAAAACCAAACACTTTCACATGAAATTTGCAGCTTTCATTAAAGACAACCTTTCTAGATAACAGAGTAATCCTTAGTTTGGATTTCTTCAGAGCACCACAGTATTTTTACATTCAGCAGAATGTTGTCAGTGAGGTAAAACTCATTGGTATCAAAATGTGTTTGAAGTGTTTTGTTATTCTTAAAGTTTCACATCTTTTTTTTTTTTACCTTGGAAAAGCGCAGTTAAGTTATTTCCGTCTCCTGTAGGATTCCTGAACTTTACATTTTTATCTGTCCACCACGCAATGCCTTTTTTAATCAAAGTAATAGGCGTCCTTGTGTTATTTTCAATGCGATATAATTCCAATGTATCTAAAGGGAAAATCAAATTAGAAAACCAGCTGAAGGAACTTTCATTAGACAGATGATCCTGATAGGCAGTGAAACAACTACCTCCAGGAGAAACAAAACAAAAAAAAACAAACAAGGCATTTATTACCTGCCTGCCACAATCACAAGCTGTTCTGTAAGAATCAACTTATATTAGATAGCAGCGTATTATCCATATATGATATCTATGTTTCTACCCCACAGCAGTAACAGCTTCTCAAAACAGGTATTTCCATCCTTTGTATGCCATCAGATTCAATTAATTCTCACAGTAGTTTTGGAAAAAGCGACAGCAGTACAATACAAGATATTTAATTTATTCTGAACAATGAAAATGTGTTAATTCAAAACAAAAAAGCCCACAATGTCTTTACTCAATAGTTTGCAACACAACACAAACCATACAGTAGATCACAAGAACATTTAAGTGATAACTTAAAAGTGCTACCCTACCATTAAACATACTGTTGGCAATAGCTCCACAAGGAGCAATGGGTTTGTCCTCATTTGTGCGGTACGGCTCACATTCCTTACTTGGATTCTGATGGAAAGAAAAAAGGCAGATGAATCTGTGTCAGTTTATCCAACTAACCCATTTTTACTACAGTACCTCAATAACATGCACATCTTAATTGTACCACAAAAATAATCTTTTCACAAGCCAGGTTATTTATAAGTACTTCAGCATTCAATACTAGTTAGCATGATTGATTTTTCTTTTACAAACAGGAATAAAATCTAAATAAAACATGAATAAAGTCGGAAGCCCATCATGGTCATACTAAAAATAAGGCTTTTCTTGGAAGCTATTAGAACGTTTCTTCTTTTATCTTTTAATAGAAACAGTTTTCCAACATGAAGTACTCAACTCTTCTTCTATTAAAGGTTTTTTTTAAATATGCATCAGTGTTATAGAAAATAAGACTATAATAAGAAACCAAGTGTAACATAAAATGCAAAAGGTTGCAAGGAGTCCAACAGCATGCCAAAAATGCAAGCAGAAAAAGCCCCCCCAAAACCCTGTGTCAGTCATCAGATGTAGCCTCCTGAAACTCTCCCCTTTTTTAAAGTTTACAGGTAAAAAGGGAGAATCATTCTTGCTGAAGCAAGAACCCAACTGTGTTGCCACTCCTCCTAAAAACTAGGAAAAGGAGAGGTCTGGCCCTAAACATTACACGGGGCCTTGAACAGAACACTCAGTACGGGTATTTTCCAGTATCACTGATGTTCAATACTGAACCAGAGTCTACAAAAATGGATGCATTTAGCTGCAATACCCAAACCAAGTGCTAGGTAACCAAATACTATTTTATACTGAAAACAAAAACTGCAGACAGAATGGATACAGATAGATACTACTGACTGAAGATAACACGACAGTTTAAAACTATTCAAATTTGAGAAATGATTGAGGTACTGCATTGCTGTCCGCTTAATGAAATGATTGACATGAAATCCTACAGTATCTTACACAGTTATTTTCTGTAAACAAAATATTAATTCCTTATGGCTGTCTGTTATGGAAAAATGCTAGTACCTCGTTACCATTAAACTAAACACTGTGCTATGTGGCGATTTATGCAATAGTCAGAAGTTAGTTCCTTATTAATATCCAAGCGTGAATACCTACAAGTAGTGAACTGTTATCGCCATTCAGCTGGCTGTCATCTCGCGATTTCACGTAACGACGATGGTTTTGATAGAAGTTGGAAAGTCCGTAATACATGAATACATTGCTCTACAGGAGGCAAGACAGGGCAAGAGGGATTTTCATTCACACAAAGCTTAAATTTTAACCTCTTAAACTCTGTGTTTGCTTGACAGCAACATTCATAAAGTAGGAGCCTCAATCCTTTCTTCACACTGAGCACACAAGAGTACTATCCTAACTTAAGCTGGCATCCTGAAGTCAAACAGTATAAATGTGCCATAAACTATCAGAATGATACTTCACTAGCACTAATCCCAACACCTGTCTTGTCTGATGTTAAAGCACATAAGCCTCATTATTTGCTTGCAATTTGTCAGAAAGCACTTATCTGGTATTTCCAATTCTTGTTGAACTGTTTTTATAAATCATGCAGGATTACTTGCCAGTTATAGGACACATGCGGTAAATCTAAATGTGTAAAACACAAGCATTCTATTTAATGTTTTACATTTCCAGATAAACAGAGGCATTAAAAGCTATCTCATCCCTGTTACTGTAAAGACACACAAAAATCAGACCTAAGTTCATAGAAAAACTAGAAATAATCCTTTAGGTAAAAAAAAAACCACTTAAGTGATACAGCTTTCCTATCTATTATGAAATAAACCATATAAACTGTTCTAATTTCACTTCGCATACAGGGTAGCATACCTCAAACGAATGTTCCAGTGTGAAATTGATGGTGCAAGTACAAGGTGGTGTGCTGTCCCAGGACACATTCAAACATTTGTTGCAAGGACTCGAAGGCTCTGTTCCGGTATAGTCAATCTATAACAGGGGGGGGGAAAAAAAAAAAAAAAGCATTCATTTACAATGGGAGAGTAAAGAAAAATGATTAATAAGTCAGAGAGTTGATGTGGCATTAATTTTGCGATCTTATTACACCTTAACACCAAAAGTCCATTGAGGCCTATTTGATCATCTCGAGAGGTCCCTTCCAACCTAAACAATTTGATGATTCTGTCTATATGCTGGATTTTAGCCTCAAACAAATTTAACACTGAGGTGGGCCATTACTGCTGGGGGAAAACAAAACAAAAAAACAAAACAAACAAAACAAAAAACCACACCAAAACACAAAGAGCAGATACTCCAGACAACATGATGTTTCCAAACACACACGCACATGCTACAGGACAAGCAGATTTGAGCTTTTATATGCTTTCCAGACAGATTAAATTTTTAAAAGTCTAGATATTTAATTAAAAAAAGGTTTGCATTAGAAAAATTGCTTTGCTGACCATTTTTAGCCATCTAATTAGTCAGAAGATTTAAAAAAAGTTATAAAAAGAAAAAATAAAATCCCTTAATGCCCAAGAACTGTCCTAAAATAGGGAAGATGAAGATGCTAATACCGTTTTGCCAGGCATGGTAAAATACCAGCAGATGGATAAGAAAGATAATCAGTGTTAATCTGGCTTGTACAATATTATCTGTCTTTAATCGCGTAGCTCAAAAAAAGCCAATATTTGACATCTGTACGTACAGGCTACCTGGCCGGTACAGGTAACGCACCCTCAGGAGCCGTGAGCTCACCCTACAGCCCAAGCCAACGGAGGTCGCTTGACCACATCAGCTCACTCTCGCGTACAGCTCCAGCAGGTGAATGGTGGGAAATAATGAAGCTGGCCTCAGCGGGCTAGTTCCAGGTGTAGAAGGAGAAAGCTTCCACCTGCCCATAAACTACGTATTTCTACACTTACTATGAACTTCCTATTTAGAATTTAGACTCAGACTGGTGAAACATATACCAAGTTATGGCAACAAGCTGTTTAACAGCAGTATCATTTAAACTACACCACCTGTATAGTTTTATGAAAGGCTGCTGCAAATGGTTTGCCCTGATTTATGCTCGTAGTGAAACACGTTATCAAGAATTAGAGTGATTTATGATCTGTCCTAATACCTGTATTAAGGCTAGTGAAAACGAACATGCAGTTTCAAGGTTCAGGGAACAACTGAAGCCTGTTTTCCTCTGAATCTTCTTCAAGGTCTCTCCTTCCTGCAATTTCTTCAATATCTATCAAGCTGCAATCCTTCCCTCAGCATTTTTATTAGCATCTGCTCTGCTGCCAGATTTCTGACAGATGAGACCTACAGCCCAACGAGCCTAGCTGAAACAAGTCGGCTTCAGAAGCTATTAGCTGGCAGAGAGAGAGGATCACATAGTCTTTGCTTCCTTCACTGAACAAGATACTGAGTTTATGCTGATCTAGAAATAGCACTACCGCAGCAGTCCTGAACAGCTCTGTTTATCTACAGCAGACAAACAGACCACCACTGCTCTCAACAAACAATGCATCTCATTCCTTCAAGGCTAACTCAGTACAGGTTTTTTCCTGCTAAAGTAAGCTTAAGCAAGCATTTCCTTTAGAAAGAATTTAAACCTCCATATCCCAAGATAGTTCTCCAATGTGTGAAGTTTTAGATCAAGAAAAAACTCAAATATTGCAAGGTTGCAAAAGCTCTAAAGGCTTCACTTTTAAAAATAGAACTGACTAAATTCTGTGGAGCATGAAATTGATGTATATTGAAACAGACCCATGCTTGTGACCGCTGCTCTCAGCGTCAATGCTATCCAAGAGCTTTCCCGTACACTGACCGCCAACACAAGTGGGTTTTTTCTGCATCCACATTTAAGAGTTGCATTCAACAGAGAGCTTATTTAAAGGGATAGAGGTATCTGTCTTCATCTCTTGACAAAATACCAAAACCAGGACATTGAGAACTGGAGGACTGACTCTGGGGTCCGTGGCAGGAACCGACCTGACCCAGCGTTCTGTCCCCAGGGATCGGCCAGCAGCCGAGCGTGACAAACCCACACAGAGTGGGCCCTTCCCATCCAAGGACACCTGTGTGTATACCCAAGTTACCTGCACCAATGGCTTTTCAGGCTGTTGATGTCTTTCTCAGTCAATTTACAGGTTTGCAGTACAGAAATAACGTAACGATTGCATATACATATTCTCCAAACCATTTATGATTTTGCAGGCTTCATACACTGTCACATATTTATCCTAGTCTGCTTGGCCATTTCTTGTATAAAAGGCATCCCATAACCCTGCTCCTCTTTGCTACCCCTCTCTGTAGGTTTTATTAAGTTTTGTATCATTTCTGAGAGGGGGCTACCAAACTGCACACCACACTGAAGATGTACGCAACAGTAATCTACTTGCTTTCAGTTCTCCATTCCTAGCCATGCCTTAAAGTCTATCTCCTTTTTAACTACGATTATGCATTTCACAGCAGTAGTCACAGCACACAGATCTCTTTCCTACACAATTGATGTTTTGGATGTTCCTCAGTTTTTATCACATATTAATATGTTCTGTCAATGCTTCTTATCCATCGTAAAAAAAAACAAAACCAAAAAACACCACAAACAGGAAATGCAGAACTCTCTCACCCTTCAGTAGCTGGGCAAAGAGACACATTTACACAGCTGATTCTCATTTTCCACCCAAATTAACTATTTTCATGATAGACCCAAAATAAATGGCTGTTTACACCCTTTGAAACAGTGAAAAAGTGCTAGAGAAAAACCAACACAAACCCCCTACAATTCTAGTACACTTAAGCTGTTGGAAATCTTCCACGTTGGAGTTCAAGAGAGCTTATAAAGGAAACCAATGGAAAAGCTACATCTTGCTGCTCAGTCCTTGCACCTGTAGGAGAAGAGCACCGGTCACAGAGATGCTAATGGCTGCAATATCTAGTTCCAGGAAAGGGTGATTTGAACTGTACGTAAATATGTATTTCAGGGGCATAATTATACATCCTATTCAATTCCAATACACTGAGTTTACAGGCAGAGATGTATGTATCTGCACACACACACTTAACAAGTATGCTATTGTCTAGGAGGTAGGTGTAAATAACTACCTCTGCTTCCTCCTCCGAGTACATTTTTAAAAGAGCTTAGTCACTGCACCTAGCTTCTAGATGTCTTGTCTCCCAGAGCTACATTTACAGCTGTTTGTGAATAACATTTGGAGGTTACTAACCAAAGCCAGCACACTAAGCAGGGACATATCTCAGCATACAGGCGGTAGCAGTGGCTTAAACTGCATCCCTCACTGGTGTTCACAGCCCAAATGCTGGTCTGTAAAATGCCTCATTTACGTTTTGTTGCTGCAACTGTAAAGCCTTTTTTGATTTGAACTTTTTTCTTCCAAAATTCACCTGCCTTTAGAATGATAATCTCACTCGCAGAATTTCTGCGTTATAACACTTGATAAAACACACACAAGGATCAGAGAACAGAACCCAAGTTTCCCCACTCTTACCTGCATACCCCGACTGTCTGATCATACTCTCAGAAGTCAAGAAATCTTGTCCCTCCTGTCCTCAGGAGAGCTTCACGTGAGGTGGATGACACAAGAGTGAACCCACACAGTAAAACAAACAAATGAATGAACGAAACCCTTTCCAAGCTTTAATACCTTGAAATTAGAAGGCCAGCACCTGCCGACTCGTTTCCAAATATAAACGGCTACTACTGCTTTATATTTGCAATCTGATGGCGTAGGGGAGCATCAGTCATGCTTCCAGCTCACCTATAGATTTTCATACTGCATGTTAGGTGGGAACATCTAGTTTTTGGCTCCTACTGGAACTTACCAGGAGTACATGACTGAGCTGCTAAGCAACATGTAAAAATTCTGTATATGGACACAGCAGCAACATCGGCACAAGAAGTCACCTATGTTTTTGGACTCATGAAACTCTGATGCATTTCCTGTCCCTACAGATCGACGCAGATCCAGTCACAACGAAAAAAAAAGACATATATTTATCCAATTATATTTACCTTACAATCATTATGATCTACAACTTTGTATTGCTTTACTACAGAAATGGCTACTTTAAATGCAATTGTCAAAAAACCATCAGAGTTCGCAAGGATTTTTTTTTTTTTTTAACTTCTCTCCATTGAGTGTCATGCTGAAAACATGTGATGATATTTAAGGTAAATATGACTATAACATGACAATTTAAAAGTCTATACGCCCATGACAACTTAGGAATGTTCTCTGAAGCACCAGTGTTACTTTTCAGATGTTCTGCATACCCTCAAACCTTGAGACAAGAAGCAATTGCTTTTCAAAAACAGGCTTACATACAACATTTGGACACCATAAAATACACTTCAGCTTTGTTTTTTTCACTTTTGCTTTTCTCCTTGACTGGAATTTTAGTTCTTAACATTAAAGGAAAGTGAATCTTAAACTGGTTTTATTAAAACATTGTTTGCATTCTAACAGAAATATGAAAACATAATACCATTCATTGTCTGCCTCGGGATTTCTTTAGCTAATTGGGCTTCATTGCCACATTGCTACCACCACTAGCCAAGCCACCGTCTTGAATGCTACTTCTGTGAAAGTGACAGCTTACAACTAGGATGACCTGATCCACAAAAAATTCATATTCTCCAGCACAGCAATCCAACAAACACCTACACATTTTTTTCCCTATAATCAATGTTGGTCGCATTGGCTCACTGAAACTAATCGTAGCTGTCAATCTGCTTTCCGAGGTTGTCCCTAAGCCCTTTGGGTTGTTTCCTTGCAGCACAAAGGGATTCTCTTACCAAATGGACCTAACTGTGATACGCACTTTAGTTTTTAGTTAACAGTCAGCAACTTTTCACAGCAGTGGTGTGGTTAATTATCAGACGCAAATGACTCGGCTCCTGTTAAGTATAATTAGAAAAAGCCACCCTCTTCGATCTTTGTGTCTAAGTTTACTCCGGACACCCCGGTCTCCCGTACAGCATCTAAAACATTAAATCATTAGGGCACGTAAGAATTACAGCAATACATTCACTGTAGAGTTTTGCCCCGGAACTCCGATTGCTCTGGAGCATTTAAAGGACATGATCCGCTGCCACAGGCTATCCCAAGCAGGATGCACCTATCGTCCGTGCCACCGAGGCCAAAACCCGCGCTGGGCTGTGCCGGTTAAACACCGGCACCAACCTCCCTGGAAGCCGACCGAGGAGCGCTGCCACCTATGCGGGGCTGCTCTGTGAGCTCCACGTCTACCCAGGGTAATTAACGGACGGTTCGTTAACGAG